CGAGAGAGAGAGAGAGATAGAGAATGAAAAAAAAATCCGTTCCATTTTGACCTGAAATAAATCCGTGGATTCACATGCAGTGAACAGCCGCACATTGAACAAGCGAGCGCGCGACATTATTGTCGCTCCGATAGATTTATATGCAAATTGTGGAGAGCGAGAGCAGAACTAAAAACGAACTGGTGATGCATATAAATGCAGAAAAATACACATTTTAGTCGTCAAATGGTTATCGCCACATTGATTTATTTATTATGGTTTTGACGTTCAGTTAATACTCCTACTTATAATTAATGGTGTTGTTCAAATCGATCAAAATCGGCTCATTTTCATGTACGTAACGGACGATGATGGGGACGTGAAAAAGTGTGCGAATTATCGTACAGGGTGAACATTGCGGTGATTGAGAAATGGCAGTACATTTGAAGCAAATAAGAAGTTGGATTTGATGCTATTCGTTTCCGGTTGGAAATTAATTGAAGACAGAAATGGGAAAAAAGAGAGAAAAAAGTAAAATAATAGGAAAATTCCAGAAATGCCTGGTTTCGAACGAATTTCAGCAAAAAAATGACGGTTTGTTGGCCAGAAATTTGCCTTCCACCCAGAAGAGTTTCCATTTTTCGAGAAAAACAATCTTTAAGAGTAACTCGAATTTGAGTCGATTGACCGAGTAAGTAAGATGGACCTTCATCGCACCCGATGGCATCCTATATTTGATGTGTCAGCATGTTGGAATTAAATAAATAAATCACTAAAAAATAATTGTGCATTTAAATAATAATTCCGAGGATTGGTGCATTCATTTGAGCTGGTCACTGATTCTCGACGCTGTATCACTGCTGTGTGTATGTGTCGAGAATATGAAAAGTAATTTACACTAACGAGTTGAATGAAAATACTCCAAATGAAAAAAAAAAAAAACAAAACGAAACAAAATGTGTGTGTGCCATTGTGTGGCAGTGTCATAAATCAAAAAACAAAAAAACCAAGTGAACAGTTGAACTGTTCGAAATGAACAAATCGAAATGGAAATCGACATTGGCAAAACAAGACAAAATGCAATCAATAGTTGTGCTGGCATGGGTTGCGTGGGCAACTTCAATATAATAATGTGTCGCGCATTTCACGAATGCAGCACGACCAATTTAAATATTGTTTAAATGTCAATGATAATTAATTAATGGTTTAATAAAGTTGTGTGTGCGCGGTGCGGTGCGACGCGAATGTGAATTGCATTAAAAGCACTTAATGTTTACAACACATTCAATTTGAACTCGAACTCCGTGGCCAAACAAAACCGGACAAGCAAAAAAAAGAAGAAGAGAATTTAATGAAATGATAAGTAAATTAAATCGTCATTTGGCCGGTTTGCCAAATGGGAATGGTCATCAATGTGTGAGCACATTTGCAAAACAGCGCCAATATCTCATTTGGGAAAAATGATGTGCAATTAAAGAGGAGCTGCTGATTGAATTAATGTTCGTGTCATCGTTGTTGTTTTTCCATTTGGCGAGAACACGTATCGTGGCTGTGGCCTAATGGGATTTTTGGCTCAATTGACATCTTAACGGATCAACGACACACCAGTCAAATGTAAATTACAGCCCATTTAAAATGCTAATAAATAACAAATTGTGGCGAACAAAAACGAAAAAAAAAACAAACACACATTTAAAACGATTAAAATTGAACATTTTATGTGCATTAAACGAAGCGACAAAGAGATATGACAACAAATGCAAGTAAATAGAGAACAACTATTGTTGTTGAATGTTTAGTTGAAGTGGTAATGTCATAACCATAATTTCATTTGGCTCAAAATTGCACGGCATGTAACGGTAGAATGTGCTGAAAGTTTTCGATTTTATCAGCAATTCACGCGTTGATTCGATAACATCCGCCATCGTCGACGACGACGACAACGACGCTGTTGTCGAGTCGGGCTAATGAACAGCGAATAAATTAGTCAGACACATGCAATATGCCGTTAATCTGCGATGTATTCACGTCTTTCCTTATTATCGCCATAAACTCGAATTATGTCTTTTTGTTCCAGCAAAATGTTCGGGGCGCACTAATGCCACGTCACCCTGTCAGCCAGCCACAAATACAGATTTGTGTGCGCCTTGACTTTTATGCGAAACGGATTAACAAAGTAACATTTAATTAGACACTTTACAAGCTTGATACTTCGGCTTTTGGCATGGGAATGAAAAAAAAGAGCGAAAAACACGCACATTACCAACGTGGAAAATTGAAGAAGACTTAGAATATAAAGCGGTTTTCATTAATTCATCTCATTTTATGCACTGGATAGAGAAATAATGCGCGACAACCACAACCAGGAGCGATTTAATGCCAATTTGCTATTAGACTAACTAAGTAACCTTTGAACGAACATTCTTATGACAATTTTGTTACCATCAAATAAAAACAAATCTAATGTTGTCGCACCTGGTGCCTTGAGCAGTACAAAAAAGCACACACAGCCGTATTGCATGTTTATATCGAGATTTAATCAATTGCCGATCATAGATTAGCTTGAATTATTGTGCATTGGCATCGTAGACCGGCGACGACATGTTTTTTTTTTTGTTGCAAGCATTCAGTTGAAGCGAACCAAAAATAATAATTATTATGGTTTGTGAGCCAGGGCGTGGATACATGTTGAGTGCATGTTGGTTTAGCTGATGATAGGTTAAGCACTCGATTTTATAACAACAATCATAAATAAATGTGCGTTGTGAGTGTGTGCACTCAGTGCCACAATCAGTTGCCGATAAGCAAATCGATTTGCATGATACATGCAATTTTAATCAGTCGACCAGTGACGGAACACGCATAAAAACTCATTTCTTATGTTTTTTTTTTCTTTTTGAGTCATGATTAAACGGATGCCGCACAGTCAAAAGCACAAACACACTTGAATTCCAATGGAATCGACCGTCCTCACGCTCACTTGCTCTCTCTCTCTCTCTCTCTCTCTCGCTATTCACATGTTGCACTTTCGATATTTACGTGACCGAATGCAATGGGCGATGATTGCTCTGATCGCTCTAATGACCAGTGATATTTTTCCCCTTCTTTCGTTCGTTAAAGTGAAACAGTTATATATTTCGTGGCGATGCTGCTGCAGCACCAACATTCTATGCACACAATTTTTCGTCATGTAAATAGGTTCAAGTGGCAGTCGAAAGGAATTAGTGTCGTTGGTTTTGTTATCTTCATTTTGTGATATTTAATTGGTTTGCATGCGCAGAAATAAGAAAGAAAAATGGAATGAAACGGCACCTCGAAAAGGCAGCACGGAGATTATTGCATCAGGCTACAGGCAGTCACAAGGCAAGAGCGAGGAAAAAAAGCGTATAAATATGAAAAATGCTCATGTTGCGATGACTGTTCGCGCCGCACGATACATTGATTGCATGTAATTATGAAATTTACCTTTTTTGCCAATGCAAACACACACTCAAGTTCGATCATCGTAATACAACTTGATCTGATGCTCATTATTTTGATTAAAAGTTAAGAGCGATCATTTATTGAATTACATCGAATCGTTAATAATCACAGGTTACACACAGTGTGTTTGCAATGCATGATGTTTGTTAGCAGCTCTATAATCGTGCGCTCGATTAACCTGTTAGTCAGTTTTCTTTCTTAAACGATCAACATATTGCAAGACCAAGATTTCAATGGCCGATAACACATTTTATCGATATATTTTCTATGGTTTATGGGAAAATCATTCAATCGAAGTTGCGAAGCGATAATAAATGCGAATATGTAGCCTGCAGTTTGTAAGGAACAAAGTGTTTAAAGGGAACATTTTCCAATGGGCAAACATTGGAAATTGTAGACTCTACAATGTAGAGTCAAAAGCGTTGTTCGAAAGGAATAAGTGACTCGACTTCGTCTATAAAACCTAATTTCATAACCGTTTGATACGCTCGCCCAAGTGCAATTCAAATGACAATAAATGTCACCGAGAGACTTTGTAATTCACACTACATCAAATGGCACATGACCCAACGCTCGAAATTTTGAATACGATTTGTGTTTTTTCTTCGTTTTTCTCGACTTCATTAAAAACTAAAGAGAGAAAAAATGACCGAACGAAATGCACATTAAAGCCCATAAAAAAGTGTATTGTTTGAATGGTATTTTTTTTCTCGCGCCCAAAGCGTTTAAAATAAAACATTCATTCATTTTAATTAAGCCCTCTTATCAGATCGGAATGCAAATGTCGACCAAAATGCTCATTTAAGCTTTTTCATTTTGACTCAATAAATTTTTGGCTCGATTTTTATAGACACGATTCCCGTGGAATTTGGATTGCATTGCGCCATGTCTTGCGCAAACAAACCCATGCTATCAGGAAAAAAAACTCCATCCATTCAACTAACCAAGAAATAACACACACACACACACACACACACCCATAGAAAAACAATCATGCACAATAGAGAAAAATGCCAGTTAATAATGAAATGAATGTTAATATATTATCCGAAAATGGTAGCAAATTTCCTACAAAAGACAAAACATTTCGGCTCGAGAGCAACAAATCTCCACCGAAAACAACAACAACGACGAACAAAAAATCGCATTGAGCAATGAGCATACACAAACGAAATTATAATTTTGACAATAAATTTTGTCGATCGTCCATTTAGATAGAGTTTTTAATTAGAAGTTTTTACTGTATATTGGGTGTTTGGAACCAATGAGAAATTTCAGCGAGACCAAAAAAAAAACCCATTCGTTGACGATAATTTATGAGCGAAGCGAAAGAGAATTATACGGAGAAAAATAAACTGAATCATTTTACACCGTACAAAAAAAGACTAACAAATTTATATGAAAATTGTTCACTTCATGATTTTTCTTCTTCTTCTTTTTTTCGGCCATCGCATTTCCGATGCGGAATTCTTGTGTGCCACACATTTTGTTATAATTATACATGTACCGAGAGTCACTGGAGAGTTGAAAAAAATATGTTAAAACGAGTTGATTATTTTATTAAAACATAATTTATAGCGATTACACATGCTCAATTTTCTAATTATAAATGGTATTATCAACGTCATGTCGGATACCTGCACCTTAAATTACTTATTCATAAATATGCCTTGAACATGTTTTTTTTTTTTCATCCGTTGACGGCATATATTATATCGGGCTATTAATTCATAACATACAAATGGTTGAAATTTTGTGTGTATTTTTCTCTCTCCATCATCATCGTTGCCAGTCTTTTTATTACTGTTTAAATATGTAAATTTCATTTAAATTCGCTACATTGTATCGATCGTTATTTATTAAAATCTCATTTTGTGTTGATTGAAAGAAAAATGAACACAGTTCAGTGCAGATGTGTGTGTGTGTGTGGCCATTTTTTGAGACAAGTCAAAATTTTACGACTTTTCATAAGAAATAAAATCGACGCTTGGAATTCGCTGTTGTTTTGAATTTAAATCAAGTGGCTCATAAAATTCAATTCCACAATGTGCGTCAATGGGTCAAATAATTGCGTGCAAATTTGATGGGTATTTCCATAAAAAAAAACAACGATTTCATTTGTTGTTGTCTACGAAATGAATACTCATTTAACGGTGCATGGGTTATCACTAGCATGTGTCTATTACAAACATTCTTCTTTTGCCATTAACATTGCCGCGTATTGCCGATTGTTTTGCAACAAAATCAATTTTTCAAACAGCAACCGGCTCATTTGGCTGGTGGAAAATGGTAAACGAGCACACGGTATGCATGAATCATTGATAAGAATTTGATTTATGGTGAAAGGAATGTCTAAAATCTAATGGCTGTATCACACGTTACGATCATCGTATTTACTCTCTCTTTTTTACATCACGTTAATGTTTTGTAGTGCTTTGGCACACAACACATGAGTCTTTGAGTTGAAGTCATTTATGCACACACACAAAAAAAAGTGGCGGCTGGATCTGAAATGCGCCATAGCGTCATAAATAAAAATTATTACACACGGACATCCGCTATTAAAAACTTGGCTATAAAACAAAATGCAAAAACCAAACCGGCGAATATCAATGATAACGAGATAGCTGACTCTTGTCGACTGCCACCGAACTCTGTATTCCATTTGCCACAACTGCACATACAACCCGAAAACTAATTGCCAAACACTAACGAAAATTGACGTCATTAATTTGTTTTAAAGCACTATGTATCAGCCTATCAGGAGCATAATTTTATAGTAGCTGCAATTTTGATTGTCATAAAATACACGATGGAAATGGGGCGCAAATTAAAATCTCTACTTATACGTGTATATAAATTACTGATAATCGACTCTTATTATCGCATCAAAGAATTACATTCCACTGAAACAAATACGTGTGATTATATTAATTTCCTATTTAACTTTGGTTTGGTTCGCCGTATTTTTCGTTCATCTTCTTCAACTAGCTCAGATCGTGACGGCTGTGCAAACATCGTTCGTTCCATTCTCTTATTGCTTGTGCGTTTGGATGCGCGTATAACATTAAAAGTCGAGTTAAAAAAAATTATAATAATATGATGAACTTATTATACACTCATTCCAGCTGGATGGATGTGTGCACTGTGCACGTATTCAACCAACTAATAAATTCGTCTCTGGCTGTAATACGGTCTACAATGTTGCCTTGCCTTTCATTGGCTGTAATGAATCGCTGGCAGAGAAAAAAAGCACAAATTCGCATTGTCTTAATCATATGGTTTATTTGCCATAAAATTTGCTTATATGGGCCCAAATTATGATGCATTATGATAATGCAATCGAAACACCTTATTTTATGGCTGGAGAAATAGCCATCAACGACCCCAACAAAAAACACACACACCAATGGATTCATTCCAAGGCTAACAACGAATATACAATCAAATCATGGCACAAAAAACAACAACCAACGACGACCATAGTAATTTAATTTGTAATTATTGCGTATTTTTCTTTGGACAATCAATTTTCATACGCATCATCTCGCTGGCGAGTTGATTGGTTTGCACAAAACTTCACCCGGTGGCAGAATACAGTATTCCAAACGTTGAATAATATAGCAGCGCGATGAAACGAAAAACAGCCATTTTTTGGTACATTTTCACGTTCTTAGACATTGTTTTTATTATATTGAATGTAATTTCATGTAATTTAATTTTATATAATTACACAGAAATCAGTCGCCTTTTTCATAAACTCTTTTTTTCAATTGATTTCGATAATGATACTAACTGGTAAGTAGTTCATGTAGACTTTACATTATGTAGTGTGTACCTCTTATATTCGGAACAAATTCACAAGTTTTTTCGGCGAAAAAAGTAGCTCCCATCACCAATCACGTTGCGCAGATTGTTGTGGTTGTGGTGGTGGTGGTGCATATTGTGGGAATGGTTGTGGTGTCATATCTTGATGGACTTTACTATAAATCATTATACCAATTAAAGTTGCCAAGATAACGGCCAAAAGAATAGTTGTTATCTGCAAGGAATATTGAATGACATCAACTGATGAACATAATATTGATATATTAACTTGAGAGTTTTTTACACACTAATACATTTCACTAACCAAACAAGTTTTGCCCATTTTTTCAACTTTTTGCGTTTATTTATTTGCTAAGACCTTCTTCACCTCCGAAAATTTAGACTATTTCACTCGAAAAGTCGATTCAAACTGATCAAAACCAGTCAAATTTGTACTAATTTTGTGTAATTATCAAATTGTACAATGTACACCAGTGATGATGATCGTTTTTGCCAGATTCGTAATGTTTTTTTTTTGCAAATAAAAATAATTGCTTTCTGAAGCCAAAAAAGAATCAAGGTCAATGGAGGATAAGTTGATTATTTTATATCAATATTCAGCTTCTATCGTGGGTCGTTTGGCGATGTGCATATGCGCACAAGGGATTTAATCACATTTTAAGGTTCAAACAAACTGTTCTCTAAATATGACAACTGATATTTCAAATCAAATTCAAATTAAGCGACTGTTTGTCTAAATACTTCTAAATAATCAAATTCAAACAAGATATGGGTATGTATTTCATGCAGTGTTTCACTATTTTATTCAAATTAATCACATTTTTGTCGTACGTCTCAATTTTAATAATCGTCACTGTCGTATGAAGATGTATCTGCATCTGAATCTGTATCATATTCTTCAAATTTTCCGGTGGATGTTGGTAGTCCCCAGCCATAATGACCTTCAGATGGCTTTGAAGCGCGACCCGTTTCGTATTCCTCAGTCGAAGTTTTCGAATTTGAATCATATTCATCACTTTCCGTTTCCTCGGTGGTTGTATGATGCATTTTATGATTAAAAATGTGCGTTTCATATACTTGGGTTGCTTTAGTCGGAGAATATTCATTTTCCGCATAATCAGTTCCCATTGTAGTCGTTATATCTTCAGTGTTTTCTGTGGTTACATGTTTCTGATTCAACAATTGTGTTTGCTCATCATTTGGCGTACTCGAATATAGATCGTCACGTTCGTCATATCCATTGGTAGTTGTATGCGATTCCTCTTTTTCGGTCGTATACCATTTGCGACCAAATATCTGCGTTTTCAATCCACGATCTTCATCGTAACTGAAGGCACCTAAAGGTCCTCTAACTGAAGGCACATCAGTGATTTCCGGCAGAGCTGACGATGAATCATAGTCAGGAATTGATTCGTTATTAAATCCGAAATAATATATAATGCCAGAAATGGCCGCGCAACACGCCACTAAAATGATCAAAAACAACTGCAAACAAAGTTTGAATTAATTTCAATGAGCCAAAATTCAAATGTTTCTTTTATTCGTTCGCAAAATTTCACATTAATATTTTATGATTGAACGCTCTAAATTTTGATAAAACAATGATTACTCTTTACTAACCAAACAACTTTTCGACATGATCAATAAACTTTTTTTTTGGCTGGCTTTCATTCACTTAAAACACTTCGTTCAAAATATAAATTATAACTGATCGGGACCAAATGTGTAGCGAAAATGTTTTCACAACGATTATAGAAACGTCACTCGCAGAGAATCATTTCAATATTGTTTGAATCGAGGAACAAGATTTGAGAGAGAGAGAGAGAGAGAGAGAGAGAGAGAGAGAGAAGAGAAGAGAATGAGAATGAGAATGAAAGGCAATGTAATCAAATGATAGAGATAACCGATGGGATTTTTCTGTTTTGGGTAGTTGGATTGATAAGAAAAATTTGCGTGTCAAAAATAAATATGCAATCAAACGTTGGGGTCAAGTATGTCACACATTGTTTTTGCACAATTTCTTTTATTTTCATTTCTATAATTTTTTTTTTTCGTTTTGCGATGGAATTTATTGTATATTCAATTTTTCTGTAGTACACTACACAAAAACTTAGTCGAAGCAAGCATATTTTCAGCAATCTATCTCTGAATGTACATCGTATGGCTCATCAATTTCATTCAATTACGGTTGAAAATATGTGTTGCATATTCATTGTCAGATTTTTTGGTGTTTATTATGATGCCTAAATATGTGTGTTTCATAAGTTATTGGATCATCAGGTTTTTCGGTGGTTGCTTTGTGAACATGTTTGTTGATTATGTGTGTTTTATAATGTGGAGTTGTAGACGAGAAGTCCGGATCTAATTTTAGAAGGGATATTACTACTGGCTGACACATTGCTACTGCGAAGAATACAGTGAAAACTGCAAAGATTATCTATGAGAACGAATATGAATTGAAAATGTTTAAATTAAATATCACATACATTTGAAATTATCTTTTTGGCTATAAAATTATATACTCACGAAAAGATTTTTGAGCATTTTGGTTAAAAATGTCTCCTATTGGCTTTGTCTCACTAAATCGGCGAATAACTCAGAGTGTAAATTAAAACTAACTCAAAGCGAATCGGCGGAACCATTTTTATAGGTCGTTGTCAGAAGCATATTTGAAAGCTTGCAGATAATATAGTATCAAATTTAGATTGATGTTTTTCGGCTAAGAAATGGAAGAAAGAAAATCATGTGACTCACGATGAAATAAAAAATGACAATAACTGATAAGTTTGTTCAAGATTTTCTTTTTCTATTTTGAGTAATCTGTTTGTATAATAAAAGGCTGTGAATTAAAACTTGAGCATCGGTCAGATTTTAGACTTAATGAATATTAGTGAAATCAAAAATTATTGTTTTCTATAAATTATCACGTGCTCAGACGAAATTTTTATTATACATTTTTTTTTTCATTTGTTACATAGTTATTTGGAGCGTATATGAGCTCAAAAAATAAAAACATTATTAATATCCTTTGTTTTTGTATCCACTACTGTATCCACCTTGATTCGATGGATGAACATTATGATTCGAGCCGGAGCCGAACCCGTTTCCATGTTGACTTCCGTATCCACCTTTATTCGTTTGATGAGAGCCGAAACCACCGTGTCCACCACCGAATCCATTGGATGGGTTTGAAGTTTGATGCCCGCCGAATCCATTGGATGGGTTTGAAGTTTGATGCCCGCCGAATCCACTACCACCATGAGATGGCTGATGATCCAATCCACTGCCGAATTCGCCTTGTTTTCCTCCAAATCCACCATTATGTCCACCATATCCGCCTTGTTGAATTGGACGTTCGTTATGACTATGGGTTACAATTGGACGAACAGGTTCGATCGGGCGATGAATTGTATTGTGTCCGTGTCCGTGTTCGTGTCCGTGCTCGTAATCGTGTCCAGGGAAACTGACTACATCTGAATAGCAGAGTATTTAAAGAAAGAATTTATTAAAAATATTATCATAGAAGAAAAACAAATATTTGTCTAGATCAAAAATTGAACTAAAACCAAGCATGTCTTTCTTCCAGCTGTGCTTGAAAAACTGTTTGTTAAATTTTAAGTTGGTGCAAAAGCAAAGAGCATACCGTGTGGTCCTTTGTGTCCGTGGCTGCCATACGAACCGTGTGGGTTATATTGTTCAGGAGGTGAACCACTGTGTCCGTATCCACCATGTGGAACACAAGTAACCGCTGCGAAAGCAACAGCTAGAACTGCGAAGGTCATCTGTCGATAAGAAAACAAATATTGAAAACACAACATAAGAAATTGTTGATAAACACTTCACTTGACCGATCTGATTCGAGTTGATATTTTCAAACGATAGAAAATAGTTTCATTTTTCAACTCACCAAAATATTTTTCGCCATTTCAATGAACTAGTTTTTTTTTACTTTTCACAAGTTGAAACGATTCGTTCGGAATGCAAGTTTGAACTGATTGAAACTAAATCGGTGGCTTGCTTTATATAAAGAGCAGACTATTTCCGAAAATATGCATGTCATGTACACATATGCATCGTCTCATTACCTAATTCGTCTTATTCTTTTCTGCTGACTTCTGAGAAAAACAGACGAAGAAAGAAAAGGAGAGGTACAAACGGATCAAGTTAATGACGATAGTCGGCTGGGTTTTTACGATGGGTTTTTTTTCGGTTTGAGTAATTGATAAGGGTTTCTGTTTTGCGAGTCAATTTTAATCTGGATTTTAGGTCAAGTAAATTGCAATGGCAGTTTCGTTTGCAAAACAGGATCGTTATGCAGTTGTGAGCTTGAACATTTCAATCGACGCATTTAAACGCCTCATGTGTATCGTATTTCCCTGACATTCTTCCAAGTCATCGTTAATATTTTCGCAAATATTTACTTTTTATTAGGATCATGTGCAAACGCAAGACCACAAAGTGTCATTTTGCGGTGATTAAATGATTCGATGTGTGTTAAAAAATCAACAGAGAATGGAACAAACGAAGCAGATAAAAGCTATTAGAAAAATCTAATGAATATTGACAGCTTTAGAACAGCAACATTGTCTGGGCTGATGGGCTTGTATATTAATAATTAAAGCAATTTGAATCGTTGCGATTCTAAACATTGTAGAGTCAAAAAGTAGCATCATCTAAACCCTTAAGTAATTAAAACATGACTTTACGGCACCAGTTCACGTGCTAAAAAGGAACAAAAATAAAATCCTGGTATTAATAATACATTCAGTCTCAGCTTAGATGTACATCTTAGTTATTAACGTTAGTCTCGGTTCAGGTCATTTGTCGTTGTCAGTTGTTAATTATCATATTTAGGTATGTCGAAAAACCGTCAACTATTAAGCATTTTATAGCATCACACAAACTGCAGATGTCTGTGTTCTCAAGTTTGTTGCAGCTATTGAAACTAGCAGTCAGTCATTAGGAACGATTAGACCAAATTCCAAGAAATAATCGCTTTCGTTTGGACAAAATGTTTTTGTTTTATTGTACATGTGCCTTGAAACAATTAAATTTTTCCATTTTTCTGTCGAAGCAAAATTTAATCGAATATTGATGTTGATCTACGTCTATTGCAGTCAAACTGAATCTTAGCATACACATGCATTGACGATCATTTTTAGACCGGCATTCAATTCAACATCTGAAAATTCTTGAACGAAATCAATGAAACTTTAATTTTCTTCTTTTCGTTTATACACAGAATTGATAATAATTTATTGAAAAGGAAAATAACTGAATTGCAAAATCAATTTTGTGCGTACTTCTGATGCGGGGAAAAATTAAGTGAATTTTTGCGCTTGCAAGTGGCAGAGGTTAGATTGATTTAGATGAGAATTTAGTACATGAGTCTATTTTTTTTTTCATGAATCTAGATGTTGATATTCTTTGTACCTCACTTGAACTATTGACATAAGTCTACTTACAAAAAATAATAATACAAAAAACACTTGAAACTTTGGAAATATTTTCATGTAAAAATTTATAAATATAATACACCGAAAATAAGTTTGGTTCAAATGATTATTCACAAAAATGGGATTGAAGGGTTTCGTGGTTATTTTCGGCCTTCCTTGAAATGATTACATAGAAGGGCTGATTCCAATGGCCAGGTGGATATTTTGATTGAGGCGATTCTTGTTTATATAGTGGGTTCTGGCCATATGGATTGTTCCTATTTTCATAGCCATCACCTTCGTAGTCATATTCGTCGTAGTCATCGTTTCCATCATCTGGCATTCGAATTTGTTGCTATCCAAATAATCATCCTTTCTAACGTACGGACCCCATCGATCTTTTCTCCTGCAAAAGTCGATTAAAAATTCAAAATTATTCACATCTGAATGGAACACCGAAATTGACAAATTGATTTTGATTTTGTTTATTACAAACCAATTGATTTTCGGCGGATAATTCCTTCTTTCATTCGGAACGGCGTCGAAATCCGTTTGTGGCCAATTGAAAAACTCCTTTATTTTGTCAATTATGGAATACTTCGGATTGATCAATGCTTTGGCTCTGCATTTCCATTTGTTGCTAAAAAATAATGATGACACATATTTGAGATTTTTCGACTTCGATTCAGAATCAAAATTGTTGATAATGTCACTTTGACTAAGTTTATGGGAAAAAACATTTTCTCATTGAAGCACTCTACCTAATTCAAGGCCATCATTATATAAACTAACTCGGCCACATTGTATGGTCACAAAAAGTACGGCTAATGTAAAAATCACCTGCAAAAGTCGATAAAAAAAAGTCAAAGCTATTCACATTTCAACCGAATACCAAATTGAAAAATTTTGATTTTGTTTATTACAAACCAAACTGCGTTCGATCATGATGCACAATTCTTTGAATAATTCTTTCTGATTTCTGATTTTTCTCCAACAATTGATTGACCAACAGAAAATTGTTATCCACTTTCTAACGTATTGAAAATTGTGTGTAGCTACACAAAATTTGCCTGTGAATTGATTGAACTTAAACAATGAAATTAACTTGGGCTGTCAACTGATAACTGTATGTGTATACTCCACATGACTTCAATTTCGTTGTTTGTTTGTCTCTTGATAAGTGGCTTTTTTTTAACATACAGTAATCAAAGGATAACCTAAACTTGGAGTCAACTGAATTGCAACGTCAAATAGGTTCAGCGATTATGAGTACATCGTCGAACGATTGGTATGTCACTTGTACGCATTTCATTCAATTCAAACTTATTTTTCTACAATTTCGACTGTTCTAGAAAGAAATTTCTTCTTTAGATTTTCGAAATTTTCTTCCCATTCTTTTTTTTTGCAGTTTTATTACTGTATTGAGGCTTAGTCAAGCCGCAGTTTTTAGTCAGTTTTTAGCCGCAAACGAAGTAGATCAATGGATGTAAAAAAAAATGAAGCAAATTCGACGTAAAACTGCTATGAATGTTTTTCATTTATTTCTCCACAAATACAGGAACATAATTGAAGCGGAAATGTGGGCGCAGCGTATCATTTGCCGAATATCGCTTGTAGCGTGTCAATTGCGATGCCATTTGTTTAGTTTGTAAACAACTTTTTTGTTCGGCACAAGTTTGAAGAAGGAAAAACAAGAGTGTAACAAGATAACAATGCGTCCGTAACTCGGAGCAAAAACGAAATTAATAGCCATTTTATAATCAAGCAACAAAATATGTGTGTTTTCCAATGAAACAGTGGTTTTTTCTTAGACAGAGCACAAAGTGAGCATATTGCTTAAATGCACGTAATCAAGTTCAATTTCGTGGAAGTAATTTGGACCTTCGTATGTTTCTACTATTTCTACTTCATCTTTTTCGTCGGTGTGTATCGGCTCACGCAGTGCATATTTTGTGTAGTACATAAATTCATGAGGTATGCATCAATGAGAGACGTGTGGTGCATGTGTTGCATTGTTTGCGCCGGTCGAAATGCTGCTGGCGATAATTTCTGGTGCAATCAATGCATTGTGTTGATGTAAATATGTGCTGATGAACATCCTATTATCACTTGAGCATGAGCACAGTGGAGTGTATAAAAAACCGCAACCACAAAGTGAAAGATTTAAGAGAACAGCCAACTGACACAATGCATTACTTAGTTGCAATATTGTGTAGGGAATGCAATGCTGAGGCGAAGAGTATGGAGAGAGATGGAGATGGAGAATGAGAGAAAGAGATTTAGACAGGGAAAGAGTAGAGTTCGACAAATGCTTAACGAAGAAATGCTGTTGGCATTGTGCTCAAAACCAAATCCGTATTTCTTTGTATACCGAAACATTGCGATCAAATAAAACAACAAAAAGCGCATCAAGCCACAGAAGCCGAAAGATCGAGTGTTGAGATAGTAAAACTAGCGGTAAATCGTTCCATAGAGCACAACCTGAGCGGGCGTGCGCGCACACATAGTGATAATAAAACATGCAATAAAATGTAATTAATTTCGTATCAATTTCGAATCTAACGAGATAGAAAGAAAGAACGAAGAGTTGAGTGAAAGAGGAAACGACGTAGAAATGAAATGGCAGCCCGCGTCAACGTTAACACATTTCCAGCTCAAGCGCACACACATCGAAGCATCGAGAGTTAATTTAACATTTTAAATGTCCAATTATCCGCGTGTTGATTACTTTCTTTATGCGGCAATCACACAATGCATGCATGCATGGTGCACACATAAAATAGAGGAAGATGCTTGAAATGATCTGCGCACGAAAGACATACGATGCAGACATAGATGGAGAGAAAAAAAACCAGCTTAAAATTTATTGAACGTCTCTATAAAAGGTTGTTTCGATGAAATATCGGCATCTAATGTGAGTGCGCGCAGCTTGGGCGCAAACACTCATTCAATTAATTCCATCGGAGCGCGGCAACGAATGGGAAATACACGTTTAAATCCAAGCTCCGACATAATATTTTATGCGTTCGTAATATGTAGAGAATCGCATTGAAATAACATACACACGGTAACAATCGACATCATAAAAAAACAAGCCAAGAAACTTCAGTCGCAAAGAGCGAAAGAGAACTGGAATAAATAAATAAGATGGTAAAAATGTGTATCGAAAAACAACTCGCTATAAAAATTAATTTAAATAATAAGCCAATAAAACATAATTACGAACATATAAATCATCGCGCGTTTCTCACAAAAGCGCATAAAACACGATTTTTTTTCTCTTCTTTTTACACGTATTAGATAGCTCGTGGAATGAGTTCCAGTCGTGTCTATTTTATGCAATGCGCCGTTTTACGTTCAACGTATATGCTCCAAACACACGATGAAAAATCGTAAACACATGTCAAATTTGAACATTTCTCTGGCACGTCCAACAACACACACAAAATCGTTATGTATCGCACTCATTTGTGAAGCGCTCAGCAACTCTTGCAACTAGGTCTACTCCTTTTATCTACACACTCGTGCACGTGGTGTGTGCACGGCCGTACAAACGTTAACGATCCACTGCTATATATCATTTTACCTCGACGTGACTTGTTGTGAATGCTCTGGACGCGGTGCGGTTAAGATCGCGCAAAAGAAACCCACCGACCAATACAAATCTTTACCAAACGAATGCAAACGCTTTCAATTATCATTAGCCCATTATCGTAGCCGTTCTTTTTTTACTTCTTTCATTTCTATTCTCAATAAACATCGTTGTTAACGTTCATTTATTCATTTTCTATTCAATTAATGAGCCGTGTTCATTGGAAGATTGAAGATTCTTGTTCGTTTGCTGTTCGGATCATGCCAATTAATTATTTGTACGAGAAGGTGTAATAAAGCCATTGTAATGCAAATTGCCCGTTCGATTGGAACACAGAAATCTATTGCGTTTTGAAAAATCAGTCCATTGAAACTGACCCATCGAGAAAAAGCCATTCATAACGGCCCATCAGACCGGTCGGATCAGATTCGTATGTAGTATTCAACTCAGACACGATATCAATACTTACTTTGTAATATTTTTCTTCTGAATAAACATCACAATCAGAGTCACAAGGTTTTAATTCATAGAGACCGCTTTTTTGGTTGTTAATATTTATGAGGTGTTGAATAGATTATTTATTCTGAACGGAATTAGTCAACATTCCTTTATTTACCGTTTATTTTGGGAAATTGAACATGGGGATTTATCATCATTATTGTGTTGAATGATCCTATTTCCGCACTTTTCATTCCAAATTCCATATTTCAATGACTCTCGTCCATGGATTCTTTTCCAAATCACCTTTCTCCAAATATTCTTGATATTTTCCCAATCATTTTTTGTGCGAATGGAAATGTTGGAAAATCTTCCTGAACCAATTTTTTTCGCAGTTGACAGATGAGAACAGAACACATTCGGTTAATAATAAAAACAACATTTATTCAATCAAATTGCTCTGAAAAAATTTCTGTTACAAAAGAATATCGACACTTTGGCGCCCTCATTTGAGCCAAATGCAGTACTTTTGAAGGCTTCGAGCCGAAGCTCATACACATTTCGGATTATCTCAAGTGGAGACGGTTGTCATTTGTATCGAAGCCATAAAATATTCATACTTGGCCGGATTTTCCTAGAAATGTTTGAACGGATTTTATTGTTTTGACCCAAATTCCTGAAATTACTTATTTTTCGCATAATTCATAGCCCATTTGAATATGAAGGCACCAATCAATACCCAAAATGTTTAACAAAATGAAGGTATGCAAAAATCATAAGGATGTTAACAATGACTTTTCAACGGTAATTTGTCTCTGATGATACCTTAAGGTACACTTACTCATAGAATGGGAAATACACCAAATGTTTGTTCTTTGAATTGAATCAATAAATTGTTCAGTAAAAATTCCTTTTTCACACGGTTTTCAAAAGAAATTTGAAACCAAATAGCAGTCAAGTCTCTTCTGGTGCATTTCAGCTATGTCGCAAAAAGTGCATCGGTCAAATGGTCAATGACACTGTCGTTGCTTCTTTTACTAATGTTTTTATGTCGTCATTTAAAAATGTGCTTGTTCATTGAAGTGAACACACACAGAATGTGCAAACAATGTAATAAAATCGGCATTTTTGTTGTATGACGGCAATGAACTCCCATAAAATTTATTAAGGCTCACATTTTTATTTGAAGACATATTACCTAATTGAACTCGTTGAATGAATGATTTGAATATATGGTGCCATTTAAATTTTTCTTCGTTATTTTGCTATTGGATATAATGGATTTCATTTATTTTAATGAACGATCATCATTTCTTCTTTAATTAGAGCCAGCTTAATTACCTTTTATCCTTCGTAAGTTTTTTTTATTCATCATTTTATCCAAAACCTGACTGAAATTGTTTGGAATTGTGTAAAGTTTGAGTTTCAAAATGCACCTTAAATTGCTTACAATTTGATCAACACGAAGACTCTTTTACTTATGCTTTTATCCAAATTACCTGATATCATCAACTTCACGAATGAAACGAAATTCTTTTCAACTTTTCTTTCTTTAGAATTTATTCACATATGACAAACAAAAAATGAAATAATAAAAAATAAATGTACGTGTTTTTTTTGACATACTTATAAGTATAAATTTATAAATTGGTAACTTTCTGTCTTTCTACGATATATTGGATTTTGGATTCGCTGGGAATTCAAAACCATATCGAGAACAAACGAATTGGATGGTGTTTCATTCGTCATGTTGTTATTACTCATAAATTTATCGAATAAATTAACAATGAAATTTAAAGTTTACAAAGAAAGATAATTCCACTATTCTACGGCATATTTACTTAGGGTGTTGTATGTGAATTGAGCTACAGTAATTGAAATTCAAACTAACAACGAAAGTTAATTTGGCAGAGATGTGAAAAAAAAGATGTGGACGTTGGCCTATAAACGTCAGAACACAATTGAAACCGTGCTATTCGTTTCGTACAGTTGGAAAAAAAAATACGAAGGAGACGATTGTTCGACTGGCAAAATGTTGAATATATTGTTTGCGTAGCACTCCGTTTATTAAGAGAGGAAACGAATTATGGGAAATTAGAAATACTGAAATATTAAAACACGTTCGAAAATGCGTTTCGTGTGTGTTAGATTCAAGGCGCTTTGTCAAAATTGTGCAAGATTTTGTTTTCCTTTTGAAATTGACTCACTTACGTACTAATAAACATAAGACTACAACAAAAAAAAAAGAAGAAAATTTCGAAATAAAAATGAATCCAATAATTTTGTGTTATTTTTTTGTTTCATTCAAGATTGATAAAAGTTGGCCCATTTTCAGTGTAGGTAAATCGTAGTTGGTTTGTAGCGCACGGTAATTTGTTAAGTTGCGTGTGAGCAAGAAGGAGGAGAAGTTATAAGGGGACAAATGGATTGAGATTATCAACTAGAATTGGCGGACACATGATTCGGTTGGGATTTTTCCTCTTTTTCAGCGGCCAATTCACGTTGCGCCTTGATTTCATTGACTATATCAACGACGAGCGGATGATTGAATTTACCGTCCGTGCTGTCGAAGAACTCTTGATGCGTTTTGATGCAATTGTCCCGTTTTTCATACTCGAACGCTTGCATCACCAAATCCAGTCGATCCAAATCCTTCACGAACTTCGATTCCGGCGTTTCATTCTCTTCGTATTCCTGCAATTATGGACAGTCATTAGAATCATCGTATCACAGATTATAAATAAATTCAAATAATTTAATTGATTAGAGATTCCACACGGCGATGAAAACTGGGACATTTGCGTTATCAGCTCTTCACTAACGATGTTTGTCATAAAAGTGCCGAAGCGACGACATATTTCAAAATACCTTGACCCAAACGATAATCAAATTGCATTCAAACATGTGGTCAAGCGGCCATTTCATTTGAATATAGCGATAGTGTTCACGTGCAACGGCTGTCCGTGTGCATTTGAATTTTCAACTCAGTAGCTCCAATGTCGTCACTAATAATAGCACACATATAAACGCCCGATTTGAATTTACAGAGCAATAAAATGCCAGACGTAAAACGATTTGCAAACAAAGAGCTTATCGTCTTCTTTGAGTCGATGAAAGTTACGTCTTTGTTTGTGAAAAAGCAGACAAATTGCGGAAATTAGAGGTCATTAAGCGAAATTTCGACATTCCACATAGATGAAAACAAGAATCGTGTTGAAAATTTAGCATTGCTTTTGTTTCGCAAATATTTGCATCGGTTCTTTTAATATTCGGAAGTGAAATACAACCGACTGTTTGTTTTGGATTTGGTTTAAATTGGAAATAACATTTTGAGGCCAACTGCCAAAATATGTTCTGAAAGTTTGAAACTCGTTGTGCTTTCGATCAATTCGGTTACACTTCTCTTCATGCTCAATACGACCCGCTCGTGCTGAGCGAAAGTAGACACATTGAACTGTTTGCACACTCTTTGACATTCAGCAGTTAATGAAGCGATTAAATGCACATATGTGTTTACTACAGCGCACAAGCTCGATTGAACGTCACATTGTTGTCTTTAGTGAATCATTTTTCTAATGACAAGCTATTTGTATCGGAATTTAATACAAAGAACATTGTATCGCTGAATAGATGGGAAATTTCGCTTGCATATAAACAAATGTCAAACATTTTAAAGAGCACCACATGTGACTCGATGAATTTATACTCATCAGAGGATAAAATTTGATACTAATATAATTTGTATCAAATACAAAGCAACGTACAATTAAATATCAGCCAACGCGATTAAGAGCGACGAATCTAATTTCGAATTTCAAAGTCAAAAGTAATGTGAGTCAAGCGAGATGTATCACATTCATCAGGAATGCGACAAACGTATACAAATTGGTTGCCAATTGAACCGTTGACGGAAGTTCAATTGTAATCAGTTCCCATTGTTGATAACAAAGCCCACGAGACGCACTTGAATTTTACATTATCAATGGCATTTAGACGAATTTCAGACATTTCGTTCAAGAGAATAAAATTCAATGCAAAAGTCATTGACTGTTGATTCAATGACCATTTAATGCATTGCTGACAATTTCAGCAGTCATCGTTATCGTTGAAAAATCGATTAAATAACGCTTATCTTACACGAGGTTTTTTCTGTCAACTCAATAAACTTTCGATTGTAAAGAGCTGAATGGAAATGTCAATATTGATAAATCTCAAACGAAAAACAAATCAATTCCATCGTCGTCATTACCTCGAATAATTCCATAAGACGTTCTCCTCTTGGCGCGATCAATTTTGTAATTTCCTGCATTGCATCCATTTCACGCTGCCGTTTATCTTCCTTTGACACTCCGCAGTAGGGTGTTATGTCACCGACAATCGATTCAGCTAAATCATGTACCAATGCTAAATGTTGAAGGAAAAAAATTATGATTTTCCATTCGTTCAATTCGGATTGATTGCGTGCATATACCTAATTCCATGCATTTGGTTCGATCCAAATCACCTTTGCCGTCCAGCAGGAAAGTCATTAGGCTCATGCGGTACATGTGCCCGGCAATTGTTTCACAATCGCCAACATTACGTAAAACCCAGCCAGTTCGCTTCAAATGCTAAATTTAGAGACAAAAGAAAAAAACAATACCCGAATTGATCAAACAAATGCATTAAAAAAAAAACATCGAACTAACTTTGCCCATTTAGTATCTCATTTTTATGCTCAAAAAATCATACACTCTACACATGCACGCGTTGGTTCAAGTGTGCGGGCGTATGCGTGTGTATTTGTGAATGTGATGTATACACTCTGGCCATGACAATAAATAGTAGGAATAAAAATCAACAAATTCATTTTCGGAAGCCTCAAAGTCTCGGGAACTCAAAGTTCATTATATAATGAATGAATCAGACGAACGATTCTTTTCTCTGTTTGTTTGTAGCACGCGAAACAAGGTAAAACTTTTATTTCAACCTTGAAATTGGCCGACACTTTTTTTTTTTATATTTTCTACCATATATTAGCCAAGCATATATTATTCAGAGCGTATAAGCTCTCTCAATGAGCACACAAGACGTCAGCTGAGAGTACACGAGTCACACAGCCACACACATTGAACGAAATCAGACAAAAAAAAATGTGTCACTTAAAACCAACGACGTCACTAAACAAATTCCTCACTAACTTTTTCCTGGTGAAAATATTGAATGAATGTTGCATTGAAAATACGATTACTCACTTTGAGATTGCCCAGCAATTCCATAAATTTCACTATACCATCGAGATTTTGTGTTTGTGCCCGTTTTGTTGGAGATCCATTCATCTCGGGTGATCCATTTGTTTCTGCGTTCGACATTGTTGCTACGTTGTCCGTATCGTTTGTGTCTGGGTTGTGCAAAATTCGATTTGTTGCTGCCTGTTTGAATAGCTTGTTCAACTGGAACAGTGAAAAATTTCGTAGATTATTTGTAGTTAACCTCAAAACTTTTAACATGTTCCAACAACTGAATATTGGAATCAAAGTGCTTTTTTTTTCTTCTCGTCTGTCGTGTTGGTTTCGACTACTGTTCTCGCTCGCACTCGATTTTATGCCAGAACTAACTCGCTCGTTTCACGATTTTGACACGGACGAGTGCACGGATTTTCTGTCGTTTTCTGCCCCGCTATTTTATGTTTGCTCGAATTTTTCTCTCTGTTATGCTCACGCAAAACTGATTGGGGTCTAAAACATTTTCCGTTTTCTCCACACGCACACACAAATCTCAACTCTATCTCACTAGCAATGTTTCCCGTTGCAGTCAAACAGAAGTACTATAGTACTAGCTTCGACAATTCGTTAATGTGTATTGAACGAAAAAATTTCAAGCTGTTGTTGCCAGAAATACAATGCTCAACAAATGCAAGTTCGCTGCCTGAACCTTACGTATGTATTAAAAATCAGATGATTCTGATTTTCTCACTGACACTTGCTTTCACCATTCTCCATGCTGAACGAGAAAATCGAGCACACCAATCAGTGCGAACGAGACAACACACTGTGTTTTTCTATTGAAATGTCAACATTTGTCAATTCTATTTCGAATACATTGCTTCGTTTAGTGGCGACATCTCAATGAGAAATTGGGAAATTTTCTTTTCGTTTGCAAACAAACAGTTTTGGGATAAAATGAATGAAATTGAATGAATCATTGTTTGAACGGATCGTTTTAGTTAAACCATTGTGGAATTTATGAAAAAATATTTTTTTTTCGTTTTTGGCAATTCTTTGAACGATTTTAATTAATTTTCAAGGAAAAAAAATCGAAAAACTGTTCTTTCGTTTCGTTATTGGAAATTTGGTTTGCAATTTGGGTATTTATCACTATTTCATGTATTTTTTTCTACTACCAAAACATTTTTTTCTGTGAAATTTTATATTATTTCTACATTTCCCTGAACTTACCGTTGAACGACACTTTATTTTACCAAAAAAATGTGATTTGGTTAGCAAAAAACTGCAAGTTTGAATTAATTTCACAATGTTTTTGATTTTTCTGTTGAAGTTGCTGTTGTTTTCGCTTTCTATTACGTTTTTCGTTATCAATTTGATATCTTTTCCTTCTTAAATGCACATTCTCTATATTAATTTGATCGAACTCACCAAAAAATGCAAACAAAATTGAAAAGTATAAAATGAAAAGAGAACGCTTGAGTTCTTTATTCTAACTTTCACGATCAACGACCAAACTGCGAATGAAATTCAATCCGTTGAGAATTAATTTCGTTGGTTCTCGAGCTGAGTTGAAAAGGAGATATTTTCGATATATTTTGCTCTTTTAAGCATATTCTCATAAGTGTGTATGCATTGAGAGTGATAAAAATTGTTTATACCAAGAAATTCTTACCCAGGTCATCGTCCAAATCCACTTATTATCGATTCGGTAGCACATTCAACTTGAATGAACGGAGACGTATAAAATGCACTTTACCGTTGCTCTTAGATGACATTTTTTCTTTATTTATATGATGTGTTTTGTTTATAAAAGGCCATTCTACATTAAAATGAATCGCTACATTCAATCCGATTATATGAACGGAATTTTTGTGCTGTTGACACTTTTGAAAACCGAAAAGAAAAATCGACAATTTAAGCCAGAAAAAAATGTGTATGCTTGTTGATATTGAATCCAAACGAAACAAAACGAAAAATAATATCTATGGAATTTGTTTCTACCATTTCGACTAATAAGTTCAAAATTTACACAATACACATTGATGGTTATTTTATTTAACTTTCTTACAGTCACTACAATAATCAGTGTTTTTATGCTCATTTTTCTTCTTACGGTCGCACTTTTGCCCATGCGTCCACACACAAAGATAAGGAAGCAATAATAAGCGATGCGATGCAACGTTAAGTGGTATTGCCTTAGCGTGCTGTGAAATGCAGTCATGAGTGAGAAGAGAGTAACAGTAAAATGGATGTTATGATGCAGAGCAACTGATATGACGCTGACGATGCCAAAGTCGAATCCGATTCATAATATTGAGAGTCCCAAGAATCTGAAAATGAAAACAAGACACTTGAAATGATTGTTTTCAAAATAAAAAAAACCATGGTTCATTCGACAGTAGTCACGGTGATTTACCACTGTTGAGAATCTCCGTACTATCCACTTGATTTGCCAACACGTATTTTCTTGCATCGTTTGGATTTGTCTTATCTGGAGATAGAAGAAAAACGAAACAGATGAGCTGATTGAAAGCGAAAAAGAATACAAAATGTATGGAAAAACGGCCAGAAGAAATCGAAACAGCTTGAATGAGGTAAAAATAAAGTGAATTTAGTGAAAACTTTTCACTAAAGTGTGAAAAAAAACAACACCACAATAAAAACAATGACTTACGATGAAGATGAATGATCTTCTCAGATTCACCGAGTGTGTTGTTGGCGATGCATTTATACGGTCCAAAATCGTTTGAATCTTTCGGCCGAATGACTAACTTCATGATCACTCTGTACACATTTTCAATCGTCATCGATTCATAAATGCCTCCTTCAAAGAAATTCATTCATAAAATGGCAATTTAAAAAGACTCATTCAAAAAGTTGCAGCAAATGTTTTTTTCTTTTCTTTTCTTTCATTGCTAGAAAAAAATTTCCGCCATAAATCATGTTGGTAAATTATTTACTGCGAAAAGTATTTGAATAATTTTGTTTTGATGCAGTGGCATGTTGAGTATATGCTCGAATGGAATTAAATTAGAACGCGCACCTTGTATAATTTTTTTTCCGCTAGGATCGAGCCAATAGTTGAATGAATTCGGATGTGATTCGCTAATGCATTCCAAAACCACCTTTTGACCAATTGAAGCATAAACCTTTTCTTGGTGACGAACGAATATTGCTGGTGGAACTGCCAGTAGGGAATATTTGCAAGAAAGTAAATAGAAAATTATAAGCATAAATAATTGGCATAAAGGAATTCGGTAAAATTGCTGACAAAAATTGTTTCCGAATGGGAAAACTTACAATTCACGGCGAGCATAATACGCTTGGAGACGGTCGGAGGCACGCCATTGGAAGCTAGATACCAGAAACAGGAATTACAGAGAGCGATAAAACGAGGGAGAGAGAGAGAGAAAGAGAAAAATGACTGTATGTGGATAAAAAATATTTGAATTAAATCAAATATATCATACCAATGCAAAGAAATGCACCGTTCATATGCCGATTGGCATGTCGTAGCATTAATGTCGATCCTTTGATTGTGAAAACTGCACGGGAAGTTTCCGAGCGCCCGAACAAAAACCGAAATGGCAAAGAGAAACAGAAAATTATTAAACACAAATCGTCAACCATCCATACGGAAAGCAGCGTGGGAGAAAAATACAAGCAGTGAAAAAAAGCCAACTCTCGTCGAAAAAAAATTGAACAATGCACAAAAATATTCGCATTGCTGAAAATTTGCAACAAAACCAATTATAAACAACTGTAATTTGATTACTAAAAATAGGGGCAGAGAGAAAAAGAAATAAATAATAACGAATGAACGACAATAAATGTTCGGGATCAACAAACTAGTTGAGCATTTCGAGAAATGTGGCTGTTTTTTTTTGTGTGTGAAAGAGTCGTTGGCAAATTAAGAAGTGTACAAACTTTCTTCGCTTCCGATCGACATCAATGGCTTTCTCTGTTCGCGCCGCCACTCTATCTCAGGCTCGGGCAATCCTACGGTATTTTTTTTTTTTTTCAAAAAATTGAAAATTTATTTCATCAACAACCAAATATATCGAAAACCCAAAAACAAACCTATGGCGGTGCATGTTAATGTTACATTTTGCCCTTCATCGACGGACATATCATGACTTGTTTCATAATCGATGATATCCGGTGGCACCTAAAAGAAGTCGAAACAGCTCGAATGAGGTATAAACGAAGAGTATTTAGTGAAAACTTCTTTTTTTTTTTACTAAACTCACCACAACGGCCAAATAGCCCAACGCACTTTTCATTGGGTCCGTGTTTATTTGACACTTTTTTTGCATAGCGAATAGAAAGAGAGAGGGAAAATAAACTATTAAACATCATCAAAAGTTGGATAGAAAAAAAAATAGTTTTTTTTCTCTCTCGGTTGAAAATTGTTTGCATAATAATAATCGCAAATAAACGGAAACGGATAATTGGCTTCAAAATTTTACCATATACCACCCTTGATCCGATTCTTTAACGTCACGTATTCGCAATTGCCAGATTCGATTTTCGGTGTGCGTTATGCCGATGCGATGGTTTTTCGTGATCGTGTTGTTTTGAATTGTCAATATGGTTTGCGTGTCCACCCGTAACCAGGCTATCTACTCGTTGCGTTGTTACAGGAATTAAATAAGTTATTATTAATCAGAAATGTTTTGCAAATGGAAAATCTCTAAATATAGATGTGAAATGTGTGTATTTTATGTGTCGATTGAATTGCCAAGCAATCTAAAAAAAAACCAATCAGAAATAACAAACGACACATCATCAAAATATAATCACAGCAAAAAAAAAAAATACTAAACACCATAACCAAGCGACCTGAATAACAAAAAACGACTTTTCACTATTTATTTCTCTGTGTGTATGTGTATGCAAAGACAAACAAAGGATGATTGCCTTCGCGATGATGTTGATGCAAATTCTGAAAAATATTTGATAAATTGACAAAAATCTCATCCAAATATTTACCATTGACTGGATGCAGTGATACGGAACATGTGTATACAAGACAAGATGAGATTGAAATCATAATACCGAGAAAAACTGTCTTGCAATGCGAAAAAAAAATTCCATCTACACTACTCTGTCTCTCCGTCGCAATACACAATCTGAGTGAATGTTGACTAAAGGTTTTTGGCTAAACAAATGTGGTATTTTCAATTTACATGCAATTTTGTGTCAACATATTACGGAATCGTATGCATAGTAATAAACTCAGGAATTAGCTTTATGAGCGACATGATTGTATGCAACAGTCGCATCAGCAGTCAAACGAAACACATATAGAGGTGCATGACAGTGATTCTCTGCCAGATGGATGATATTTTCAAATTCATTCTTACCTTGTACGAATATAGGTCATGGACTACACAAGTCAAAATCGCTTCACGAGACACAGGAACAGTGATATTTGCGATTGGTGAACTGAAATTCGGATCGGGTGCTGTTGGGTTTGGAATGTTTCCCGTCGCGCGCGCACGCACAAACACACACAGAATACCAAACAGCGACGGCAGTGGCAGACGATCAAAAGATAGCGTGAGGAAAAGAGAAAGGGAGACATAAAGGAAAAGGACAATTTCAAACAATTATTATTATCTCTGTTGGGTGAAGAGCGAGTGCGTCGAGTGTATTTCTACACTCTCCGCACTCGGATATTAAATGCTAATTTTACGAGCTATTTCTTTCTTCCGACGAGCAGATTTCGAGGGCGCTGAAGAGAAGAGAAAAATAATTCTCAAATGTCAGCGCAACGGTTTATAAAAGCCATAAAAATACGGTTGTTAGTTTTCGACGAATAGACAGAAAATTTTTCGTGTACTTGTAAATGAACCAGAGTACACTGGTACACTGGTCGTTTGTGCGGACAATTTCACTGTTGCGACAACTGAAGTGCACAAAAAATACTAATTTTGCGTGTTTGTCTTTCTCGACAATGGCTATAAAAATGTGTGTCTGTGGAAGACACAGAGAGCGAGAGAGAGAGAGAGAGAGAGAGAGAGAGAGAGAGAGAGTAAAATGGCAAACGCAATGCTTTCTATTAAATTATGAGCGCAGTTTTCCCTTTTTTTTCTTCTTCTATTTCGACTAACGTGCCAATCCAAACCAGTGCTCGTGGATGCAATAATGTGTGACGAACGGAAAAACATGTGCGCGATACTTTAACACCCCTTATTAAATTAAATTAATTTGCTTTTTGCCAGCTTTTCCGAAATAAAACCGACGACACAGAGTGAGAGCAAGAGCAAGGGGAAAAAAAAGAACACGCGCCGTCGAGAAAACAATTTTAAAAATGCCAAAGCGGACAGAAATAATCATAACACCTCTTATAGTCTTGCTATGCAAACGCAAGCACTTCTACACTGTGTGGAAAACACACAGTCATTGGTATCAATGTTGCACGCAACACTAATTAAAACCTATGATCATGTTCAAATAACAGCTCGACAATCGTTAAAATCCAACGACGGGCATCAGCTCAGCAGCCACCCAATGCGCTCTCGCTACAAACCATCAAAACTCACACAAATATTGGATAACTGGTAACAAGTGTGTGGACGCTTCGGAATTTTAATCCAAACAAAATGAGTTCCTTGCTGCTGCTGTTGCTGCTGTTCTCATTCGTTCGTCCTTTTTTTCGGTCGGTAGCTCGCTCAGTTTCATTAGTACGTATATTATCTTGCTTATTATGCATTATTTTAGAGAATTTTTTTACGTTTTCTCATTATTCCGGCGATAATCCTTCAGAAAGGATCACAATATGATGTCCAATTTCTTCCGCGATTTTCACAAGCTCGTAATCTAATGCGAGAGACATTTTCGTGTCTTTCACATGAATTGGGTGCGAATGGAGCCTCAACGGATGGATTACTTGTCGCACGCGCTGCATGGAATGGGTTTTCTATTGGTAATTAAATTGATATGAATTTCCATGGAACAAAGATCGGGTTCATAAGATGTGTTTCTTAAGAAAAGATATCAAATTAGAGTCACATTTCGCAGAAAAATAAGGAAATAAATTTAAAAGTTCTTTTTTGCTCTTGGAAAACTTGTTTCGTATTTTTTTCCCGGAAAAGCTTAAGTTTTTGTTCCAAATAATGACTCTTTCTCTATCTTTCCTTCTGAATCTTTTTATGACGAAATAAAGTGTTAGGAAATGCTGCAATATTTCAAGGTTTGAAGAAAATAGTTTGGACAGTAAGGCGGAGAAAAGACACAAAAAAACAGAAAAAGCTAAAAATAATAGATAAAATTAAATTTCAAGGTCGATTTCAACCAAAAATGGTCAAGAAATTGAACGAAAAATTGCAGCGTTCATTCTATCAAGAGGTCAAGATCTAACTTCCGACATGTGCAATATGTCATCCCAGTGTTTGTACAATGATGTTATCGTGATTTTGTTTTACTTAAGGAAAGCCCTTCCACACGAAAGACACTGCGTATCATTTATATATATATAAACGGACCGGCAGAACAGAACACACACAGTCCGTATTTTGACACGAAAAGGAGCAGCATGGAAAATGACATCGGAAGCCACGTTCACTTAAATGCTCACGTTACCGTCAATTTATTCATTGGATAAGACTCTCTCTCGTGAGAAACGCAAGGTAAACGGGTGGAAAATGATGTGATAAATACAGGTTATTCTTACCCATGAAGCCAGTTAATCTCGGTTCATGGAAGTTCGATGCGTACTTGAAATATGAATGAAAAAAAAAGCGGTGAAAGAATTGCGGGAAAATGAGAGAAAGTTTGTTTCAAGCAGAGAAAAAAGTTTGAACTGGCTTTTAAAAGAGCATTCTTCAAATGAATCTCATTTAACTCATTTCATTTGAATGGGCTATCACGAAAAATTCAATTAGAGTCATTCCATGTAACGTTTGAACTTCTGTTGCGTTATGACGTCATCATACATCCAAGTTCCTTCTGAGAATTGATATAAACACCTGAATATTTCAACGGAAAAGAGTCTTTCGTAATGAACTGCGAACTGCGAACTGCGTATGAAGTGTGTTCGTTGTTAGGCCCTTGAATCATTTTGATTTTGTTCCTTATTATTTAAGTGGTTGATTCAATTTCTTGTATAACACAGCCCATTTCAATATTTGATTGCGGAAACGAGATGGGGGAGAGACATGACACAGCGCGCAGGAGAGTGGGAGAGACTTTGAAACATTGTTGATAATTGGATATTTATACTCGGGTACAGCCGAAAATTATGCATAATTTTCTAATTTGGTGTATGGTTTGTGTATAAACCAACTCACTAATTTCAGTGCGATAAAAAACAATTTGTGTGTGGCAAACAGAGAGAAAGTAAAAAAAAAACACGTAGCAAAAAAAAGGGCCAATTGTTCGAGTCCATTAGTTTGTTTCTGCAGTGTTCGTCGCCAACACAGAAACACACGGTGTCCGTTGCTTCTTGCACGTTGTATCAGTGTGCTGAACGTAGAAAAAACGGTGGATTCAGTTCAGTGCTCACGATCGCAAAGAAAATTGCTTGCTCTTTTGCCAAAGGAAAATGAAGAAAAAAAAGAACACTGAATGAAAATACGAGAATTTCTTGGTAAACGTGCAGAAAAAAAAAATGGAAAGAGAACGAGGATTGAAAAATGTCATGCCTCCTAATAAAAAACAATAACAACCCAATCATATTCGTCGGAAGACCGATTGCAAGGTGAGGATAAACACAAAAGAACGTGAAACAAACGCCTGAAACATGCAACAATGAAATAACACACTTGGTAATATATGCTCCGCACAATCCGAAAATTATATGGTTTTGAAAACGATAATATAATAATTTTTTTTTCTTTACAATGTTTGCCAAGGCAATGGCTGTGTGTCGCTTCTAATTCACATTTTTGTAAATGTGTGTGTATGGTCTTGCGGTAAAGGAAAATGCTACGTCAACAATCACGTTAAAAAACCATACATTTTTCTTTCATTAAAATGTGTTTCTTTTTGTTTTTTCGAAATAAGAAAAGAGAAGAGAGCGACACAAAAAAAAAATGCGAAGAAATCTCAGTGAATGAAAGAAAATAAATACGAAAATAATAAAGAATAGAAGAAAAATATTTGGATTTCTTTGCCGAGTATCAAGACACAGAGCGTGTGATATGATTTCCCTTTTGGGCTGACATGCATGTGGCTGGGTTTGCCTAAATTTGAATACACCGTTTATGATTTGCCCACATCCGGTGTTGCGTTCTCACATTTTCATTAAACGAGAAATTGTAATTGAGCATAAATGGAGACGTCTGTCTTTGGACGGCGGCTTGGCTGCCGGCACAACAAGGAACGAACCAACTCTTAGGAATTATTTTTTTCTTCATCTCCTCTCAACGAATGAGAGAGAGAGAGAGAGAAATCGAATGCCAAATGGAGAAAGAATTCTGTTCAAGTGGGACGAACGAACAAAAAAGCAAGTGAAAAAGAATAAAAATTCGAATTACATTTTGGAATAATTGCACGGATACAATGAATAAACGATTAAAATCGATTGGAATGGAATGTCTGGCGTTGAACAATATGTCGGTGTATGAAGGAGCCATTCATTGCAAGGGCGCGCACATCGAATCCGTGGATCAAATCATTATTATTATTATTATTCGCGATTGAAAAGGCGTCTGATCGCCACTTCAGACATTCTTAATATATTATTCATACCAGTTTTCGCTGGCCCATTGCAATTGCGACTTATTACAACGAATACAATTTTGACGTCTACGCGTTTTATTCTCTTTTTTTGCTTGTTTATTCTTTTCGTTTCACTCGAATCATATAAAACAAACAATTTAACGCTGACGTGCCGTTGGCCGATAAAATATCTGAAATTGAAGAAAAAACACAACATAATTTTTAGGAGATTCGAAAAATAATTTTTCTGTCAGCCGGCTATAAATACAGGCGCCACCGCACGCATTTAATGGAATAAACAACGATAATTATTCATTTTATGATGAGCATAAATTGAAACCTGCTATCAAATAGATACAATGTTGCATTCAGCTTTGGCACCATCGTGCTATTAGTAATCTTTAAAACGCTGTCTTGTATTTCAGCCTGGATTTTAGTTTGAAAACCAGAATTTAGATCAAGTCCAATGTGTTTTTTTCTTCCTTCACGGGGGATTTGCTTGAAAAACAAGCACCAGTGCAAAACGACAGCGAAGGAAAAAAAAGCTGTGCCAAAACTCACTGAAAATGAGAGCGAGAGTCTGTATTTAAACGGAACATCCGAGAGCAGAGAAAAAAAATTGTGGTCTGTTTTTCAACAACCAATTACATTGAACAGGTAATTTATAGCGACGAAATATTCGTTAACAGCATGAGCTTTGTGTGTGTGCCAGAGTAAGCGTCCAATGTCTTTTCATTTCTCAAATAAGCGTGTGTTTCGCATTTGGTGTGTTTCGTCGCCAGTTTTGCTTCCATTCAAATAAATCAAAAGCAGCATTTTTTCCCAACGAAGAGGAATAGTGCCGAGAGAAATAGAGAGAGAGAGAGAGAGAGAGAGAGAGAGAGAAAAACAACCATACAAATTTGTTCCTATCCACGACGACGTGGATAATAAAAAGAACGCACGCCAAATAAAAATTCATTCTTTTTGGAATCGTTTTTTTTTTCTCTTCGTTCAACTACACCGTGATGTGTATCAGTGGCAGCAAGAAAATGCATAAAAATAATACATGCAAATCGTTTGCTGTTCACCATTATAAATGTCAGAGTCGTTTGAAATATTCCACATGTCTTAATAAGTTCAGGCGAAATCAAATCAGGATCCCTTCAAACCGAAACGTTTTCATTTTTTCGTCGAATAGTTAATGGTATCTCCATTTTCAGCACGCCCCAAGAACCGATTTCGTTCGTTGAACTAGCGAAACTATAAACGTAGCGGTGGTGCTGGTGGCAGTGGTGACGGTTTTTTTTTCTCTCTATTTCTCTCCCATTCTTCTTTCCGTCAGTTTATGAGCTGAGACAGACTTGGTTTGAGCTTAATAATTTTTGATGGAAATTGGAGTAAAATCGTGTCTCTGTTTATCGTTTTCATCGGCGGACGAGAGTGAGCTGTCTTGAACTGGCTTAGGCATTCGCTTCGTGTGCAATGGCAAATCATGTGTGACAGTCAATGGTTACTGTTTCACCATTTATGATTTGCGACAGCGTTGCGTGCTGTTCGCGAACCACAACACCACCACCAAACAACCCATCTTTAAACACTAACGAGACACAATTACCGTACAAACGTTTAACAACCCGATTTCAATGGCGCACACTGTTTACTCGAAATACGAACATCAACGAAAGACAGCAATAAATAAAAAAAAAACTGCCAAATAACAATGAACGACGACAAAAAAATATACCGACAATAAAAACGGAGGGAGGAAAAATTCATAATTTTTACGATTATTTTGAACGGCAAGGGAGCGCAATTTCAAGCGATTAATAACTATGATTCTTCTGCAAAGAGGACTCTCTTCTCCATGTGACTCATTCAATGATCGTTAGGCTGACCCATTTCTCGTCTTTCGCGCGCAAAAATAAATGCCATTGCACACAAAATACCACGTCATACAGACATTATAAACGCCATCAAATGAATTATTCAAGATGTGACGACGCGATGATTTTATCATGTGCAACCCATTTTCCGAGTGTATGGCCACGACAAGAGATCTTGTGTTTCGTTTATGTTGCGCCATTTTTCAGTTGGTCAGACGCTTTGCAAAATTCCTGGCATTTATTCATATGTTGGCTGTGTGTGTGTGTGTACGTTTGGCAATGTCATGAACAGCAAGAAAATCGTTGTGGTTTCATTGTGCGCCGGCGAAAACGGCTAAAATTCCATGAAAATTGTTTATGACATATGTGTGTTTCATACGCTTCTATGCTGTCGCCGCGCGCATACGCACACACACACACACTGCCTAGCTTTCGCTTAATCTTAACAATAGGAAAAAATATTTCGAACTAGTTTTTTTTTCAGCTGTGCCAAGCTCTTTGTTATTCGGAACATTAGCTTGTTTTTTTTTATTGCTGTTATGTGCAAGGCTCGAGGCTTACTCGAGGTGCGTGGCATTTTGTTGTTTGTTGCCCGTTGTATTTTCATACGCTCTCTGAGTGCCTCACACACACTGCAAACGGTGAGTAATAAAGCATTTACCCAAAATGGCGTTATTTCATATATATATATGCGCCAATCGACGACGCTAAATACAAGAAGGTAAAAATTCAATAAATTACACTTTCAATGGATAGGTTATGGTTTTTATTTCGGTTAGCTATTTTTAAATTATCGTTTCATTTTGTCATTTTATCCAACGACAACGACGACAACAACAACGAAAATATTGGCATTCCATACGGAAAATGAGACATTACGTCGGCACAAAATAACGTTCATAAAATACTTTATTGGCCATTCAAACGATCGAAAACAAAATGATTTCTGAATACGATGTAAACAATTTCGAAGGAGTCGTTCTATTTTTCTTCGCCAAAATAGAAAAGAAAAACGCGGAATTTCGATGTTTACACCAATTTGATTCGTCTGAGAATGGATAATGATTGACATGGTTCTGATTCCATTCGAATGATTTGACAGGGCCATTCTCACACGTAGGCTCTGTTTCCACGCATATTTATTTCCGTTTTGCATTTTGATGCGAGCAGCAAAAGTCGAACGAGCACATTTTGTTTTAAAATAAACGATTACCATTCAAATGTCTAGTAGTTCGTGCGTCGAATTTTTCCATCAAATGCAATACGCTTGGCATCGCTGTCTCTAATTAATGTGATAATCAAATATTTGTTTACTCTCCAGCCCTCGAACGTTTGAATGGGATTTACGTTCACCTCCGCACCTTCAACACTCACCAACTTCACGGCTGCTGTGCGTTTGTAGCATTGTTCTTTCAATCGGATGAAACACCGAATCAGCAAGTTAAGCAATCGAATGAAAATGCCGTTCGGCTTAATGAAAGACGAGCGCGCGCGCGATACAAATTTTTTTTTTGTATGGGCGACATGTTGCACCTAAGCCTTCGAAGAGGTGAGTGTTATTGTGGCCGAGGCTTTGTTTCAATTGAATGCGCTCAACATCCATCCACTTGTGTATACAGAGCGAGAGGCTCGTTTGTTCGCGCGCGTATCCAATGCCAACAGAGAGATAGAGAGACAAAGAGTGAGTTTTGAGCTGTATGTGTGTGTGTGTGTGTTTTGAGCTGTATGTTTGAAAGGTGGAAGATAAATTTCGTAGCACGACCGCACAATCACGCGGCAGGTCATCATCATTCATCGCATCAACTGTATTAAATTGCCGGTAAACGGTTGAAGCCTATTAAATTCTGATTTGTAAACCGTTTTTGTGAAATGAATCGCTTTCCATGTAAATCGCCACCAATTCCAACTATATCTGCACTGTGTACGATTGTATGTGCACTCATTCACCTCACTAAATGGCATACGGTTGAAATGGTTTTCGCTCTCTGGCCAATTTGGTTGGCGCGATCGGAGTGTGTGTGTGTGTGTGTTTTTTCCACGCTGCTTTGTTCGCTTTTCGGCGTGTGGAAAAAACGATAAACTGGCGATTCAGCATATTTCACCCGAACGATAGCTGCGGTAGTCGGAACATCGACCACTGTGCACACCAACAGACGAGAGAAAAAAAAGCCTCAACCTGATTGCAAGTCAAACGTGCCTGAATTCGAACTCAGACCGCGACAGCAAGCGAGAGAGAGAGAGAGAGGGAGGGAGTGGCAAACTGAGGGCAAAATGTAAAATTAAATATTCGTATTTGGTTTATTAAAAATTTCCAAAAGATTTGGCATATAATTTGCATTCAGCGTGTTTGGTGTGTGATTTAGGCCATAACTCGTATTCTACAACCCCGACAGTAATAGGATATAACTGATTTTATCGCCGAGGCCAATTTATTCGTTTTACGGCGATTTCACTTCTTTTTTTTCTCTCTTTTTATAAATTCTATTCCTGCTTCTTCTTCTTCTTCTTCTTCTTCTTCTTTTTTCTCCGGCTCAATTTTCCATTCCGCGCATCGACACCGTACACATGCATTGGCTTTGCGCTTTTCGTGCAATTTAATAAGGTAAATATGCTGGAAATGATAAGTGGCCATGACTGCCGTCTCTGCTGCCATCGTCGTTGCTCTCCCACGGCCATTGTCTTTTGTTGCAGCTTAATAATGTTGATTGAACACCATAATCAAACATGACGTCAAATACCATTAAAATGCCACATAACGAAATTGAAACCATGATGTTTTCATCATTTTTCTTTTCCGCCGTCAACATACGTTTTTCTGCTGATTCCAAGCATTCTTCACTGGGATATTTGCTGCGCCGTTCATTTTTTTCCCTTCAACAACACTTGATTTTCTCGTTTGATTTCTCAATCAAATTACACATTAATTTAATGATTGAAGTCGGAAATGGGCGAGAAAATGGAATGAGTCGAGAGATTTTTGACGGGTTTCTCACATAACAACCATATTCGACGCATTTTAAACCGACCAATTCAAATTGTGCACACGATTTTAATATGATCTTTTCACTTTGGAAATTTTGAAAATGGTTATTTAATCAAGTTAAACCGGAGGAAAGGGAATTTTTTTTTTCATCATATTTGATCTATTGTCCTTTGATTTTCATCTCAATAACCGAATTAATTGCTTGTGATACACTTGATTTTTTACGGTTTCACATTTGAAATGTTCGACGTCTTCTCGCCACGCATTTAGAAGAAACGAATTTTTTGGCAATAGGCTTTGGAAAAAAGAAGATCTTGAATTTGAAATTAAAGCCAGAGCGACTTACAATGGATCTACGACGGCTTTCATTTAACCCACGAACGAGATTATTGGAAAATGATTACGTTCATCGCAAAAGAATTAGTATATAAACAAAAGAGGTCGATTTCTTTTTTCAACGTCTCACAAATCGAATCGCTCAGACATTTTTCAGCGATTACATAAAACCAATCTTGAATTTGTATGTAATCTTCGAATTGCAAATAATCCCAACAATGAGCCGAATTCTTAAAACTGGATATTGTTTCGTTGAAAAATCGCTCCAAACTGAGATATATGAGAGTTTGTATTGGGGATTTAGCTCATTTGCCAAACTGTAAAATCGCAAATGAACTGCAAAGTGGGACAAGTTTTGTGAAGAATTTTGTTGCCTCTATTGAAGCGCTCGTACAATGAATTAAGAGATATAGATATGGAAAGAGAGAGAGAGTATTAATTTCTTATTTATAGTGATAATCGTATAAATTTCGTACCTGTCATCATATCTGGCGGCAGCGTTTCACAGAATTTCAACGCAAACACATAAATCATATAAACAAACAACTTCCTCATAATTATTATAGTTTGTGGTTTGAAAAACGAGACACACACACTGCAACAGAAGCAGGAAAAAAAACAATCGAGAAAGTTTTGCGACGGGATAGACGCGAAATCGGTTGGAATGAGTAGAGTGAGCGCGAAGATTTAAAATGGCAAATAAAATAGAAAAACGGCTGAAAATGCACTGACAAACCGAAAAAAAAAAACAACCACTCGAGCAATTGTAACACGAGTACGCGTACAAACACAATCACATGTATAACAAAGTGCACATACACAGCGAGTCTTTTTTGTGCTCGTCTATTGCTTTCTTACAATGGTATGAAAAAATTTGTCATCAAAAACACACAATAAAACACATAAATAAAACCGACGTTCTCGAAACACTTGCACTCGAAAAGCTGACGGTTGCACACACTTTGGTATGCCATACAAGCACACACACTCACTGACTGACTTTTCCTACTGAACCACCAAATACCGCACACTTTTCGGGAGTTTTGTTCGAGAGACAGAGAGAGAGAGAAAATCGCACAATGCACTGAATGACACGAACCCAACCAACCGACCGACGACAACGACGACGACGACGATGGCGATGTACAAGAAATGTTGCAAGTTTTGAAACCACACTGAAGAGCGTGAAGAAAACAAGCCAACATCAATATTCAAGCAAAGCCGAGAATGACGAAAACGGGAAAAATCGTTGCCCGACAAGTGTTGAATGATACCAGTACAGAGAGCGAAAGAGCAGAGGAAAGGATCAGTGTTTCATGTGGCCAAGATGCAGAAAGAGCAAAGGCAAAAGGATTTCTCGCTTGTCCTGGCAAATGAACGTCACACTATTCTTCGTTATCCTTGTTCTCGTTTCTTTGTCCAAGTTTCTCTGCTGTTTTTTTTTCTTCGTTTTTAGCTTGTATTAAATTCTATTCAGTTGACACTTGATTTATTTGCAATGATGAATACAGCTGATACGTGATGCGCGCTCATTTGTGATTCTGTTTCCGACCGAGAGAGAAAAATCGTTCTTTTTTTTCGTTGCTCTCTTTGCAAACAATATCGAGAGGTTTTTGTGTGGATTGTAGTGCGCTTTGGCCAAACAAAATGAAGACACATCAAATTTATCGGCTGACCGTCGTTGCGATTTGCATAAATGAAATTCGGACACAATTCAAATACAATGTCTCGCTGCGCAAATTGAATACGTTACGTGATGCAGTTTCTCTATTCCGAATGGAAAAACAAAAATTCGATCACCGATTATGCACCGAGAAAATTCGTTATGTTTTTATTGAACTTTCGATTTCATATGCAAACTCTTGCACAAACAAAAGATTTGTGAAAATGGTTTTCCTGCTTTTGCAACGGAAAATTGTGTCCACTTTCGTTGGGATATCAAAATCGATGCACTGCCGAATCAAAATCGTTGGCTTTTAAGCTTAATACGAAAAAGACGCACAAAATCCACACTGAATGTTTGCGCTTTGAAATTCCACTGTGATACACATCCGGTTTATGTGTTGTTTTTATTCTCGTTGTGTCTCTCTGTGTGTTGAACTAGCCTCTTCGAACCGAAAAAAAAAATCTATTAGTCGTGTTCAATTCAATTTTGAATTGTTTGAATAGGAGAAAAAAAAATCGCGTACGCAGACCGTCAGTATGGTATGTGAGTAGAGAGGATCGCGTTCATGAGTCGACTTTCGGCTTCGACGGATGAAACGTTAATAACAATTGCAAGAGCTGCATGCCACCGAAAAACTGTTATTCAAATTTTGTGTTTGGATGGATTTTGGCTGTGTGCCGTTGGAATTACGTGTAGGCGCCCCGCGCGCGAACGTGCGAGCAAAAGTGAGACGGACAAATCGTATACGGATAGAGTGTGCGAGTTTATCGAAAGTTCCACTTTAAAATTCAACAACAAAATATTTGAAAATCGCGTGGTGTTTCTGTCGGCAAAGTGAATGCAAGCGCATGCGTCCTATTGATACTGCGATTGAACACAACAACAACCTCGGCAACGGCACACAAAAAACCACACACAAACCGTTCGAAGCACATTTTCGCACACGAAACTGTTTGACTGCCGTGCTACCCTGTTTCGACGGTGTGTTTAGGTTCACATGTATATTTAACGTTTGGCGTGTTATTTCAATGCTGCTGCCGCTGTTCGTGTTGTTTTTTCTTTTATTCGTTCGTTGGCAGTGAGTTCTCTTGAACTTGTGCGCTTTTGAATGCACATTTTCAGTGTGTCGGCAAATCACTGCCTGCGTTGGCTCAAACAGAAACAGCAGCAGCAGCAGCAGCAGCAGCAGCAGCAGCAGCAGCAGCAGCAGCAGCAGCAGCAGCAGCAGCAGCAGTGGAACAGGTACACTTGTGTTTTTTCTCCTGCAACTTCCCACAGTCATAAACCTGCTATGGATAAAGGGAAAACGTATAATCGTCGCTCTCGGATTTTGGTGGTTGGTTCGCGTTTTTGACGACTCACCGACTTTGCGTGTGCACAGCGTTGAAAACACACAGTGCGATTCATTCCCTTTCCCTTCGCTCATTCCGCGGTGTGTGTGTGTTTATGTGTGTTGAGCGCCCGACATACGTAATGTACGGTACATTATTATTATCATTATTATACGTATTTTGGTTTGTTGGTGGCTCATATTATGATTACTTATTATTTTCACTGTGATTTTGATTCCGCACATATAAAACCTTTGTGCGGAATATGGGTTTTTATAGCATTCCACTGTGTCAGAACCCTGCTTGCTGCAATTCGAAGAACAAAAGACGGAGAGAATGAGCGCGCACGAGAGTGCGAGAAAGTGAGCTCTCGGGATCGACGTACGGTCACATAAAGTGTATTTGAAACGCTAATAAGAAACACGATACATGGTACTGTAATATAAATTTGTATGCTCGCATCCAATTTTACAATGCATACCGACCGAACGGGCTGCACCAAAGATGAAACTGCTGGGCGATGCGAATATTAAATGGCGAGAAAGTGTTAAATTGTACTTAAGAAAGAGGGATTATCCATATCGCTATCCTACTATCTTATGTTTTAGCAAATGCATTCGCTTTTGAAATGCGAAACGAGATGAACCCAACACACACACACCAACCTCCACCATTGTCGCCTTTGTAAATGCAATATACCTGCCCCCAACGCTGAAATTAGAATGGAAAAACCATCTTTCAAAGCGACCGGAGAGAAAATACACGCTGTTTCAAACTAAAGAAGAAGCGGGAAAAAAACGCAGAACGAAAACACTTTCATAATCTCGATGCAGACTGATTATGAAACGGATATCGTTGATTACGAGGTGCTAATTTATGTTTTCAATTGCTATAATGGTCATCAAAAGTTCAAATCGAACGCTTAAATCCTCCCTTCGAAAATTCGAAGAGCAAAATCCCATTTTTGCAAAACCTAAATATTGAAAAACTTTTTTTTTTTCGTCTTTTGCTTTTTCTGCTGATTCGTTACAATGAAACTCAGGCTAATTGAAATTGCTAACTCTCAAATAAAATTTTCGGCTTTTGTTCGGGCTTTGAACGCGCTCACGCATACACACAATTCTCCGGTCGCAAAAGAATAACAAGCAAAATTGTTTAAATTTACACTTTTTCACCCCATTGCGCGACCGTTTAACACAGCAGCACGCATTTTCTCATTCATTTCATTCACACCATTTCATTTCGATACTGATGATGGCAGCGCGCTCCTGCTGCCGTATTCGTTCTGCCAAATACAAATCCAACATTCCACTTTTCCGTGTAATTCTTCATGCACGCTTCTCGTATAAATCAACACCGATCTTATTAAGAAAATGAAAATAAATACGCCAAATCGACCCAAAAACCCGTCGAGCATTTCTTCGTTTCGGTTCTTTTTTTTCGTTCCGCATTCGCATCTTCGATGCCATTGAATAGTGGCAAAATGGGTTTGGAACGCTTCTTAAAATCGTCTATTTTTTTCCTGCGCTCGCATTGCGATATGGGCGAACCGTAAAAAAGTGTGTATTAAAGTCAAATCTTTATATGGATGCATGAAACGAAAAGGGTCGCGCTCGACACTTTGGTATTTGGCTACAGGTACGCGCGTGCAAAAGAGAAATATTGTTTTTATTTGCATTTAATCGGCTCGAAGAATAAACGATACGCAGAAAGGGAAAAAATGCGACGCCAAAAGTTAAACGACTCTTTGTTTTGCATTCAGCCGTCGAAATGCACACCAGGCTCTTCAATGGAATGTTTCTTTTAACGAGAAAATATGCTGACATTTAAATACTAGACTAGTGAATTTGTTTCAGCGTTAATTAGCTAATATTTTCGTCTTGCTTTGGCATCGCGTCGTAATTTTTCACTTCGATCATCATTTGGAATTCGCATCGTCCGAACCAAAAGACAGACAACATTTTGTTTTTCTTCGACTTAAACCAACGGTCATGTGTTGTATACGTTTGCCCACCCGATTTCAAGTCAGATGAAAAAAAAAATCGTTTGTGTTTACCTTGCATTTGCCAATGGTCAAGAACAAACGATGTGAAAATAATCCCGTTGGATGTTAATTTATGTCGAAATCTTTTGTCTCGACGATGCAAAATATTTTTGTTTGTTTTACACTTGTTTGTGAGCCGAATTGTTGTTCTTTTTAGCACTACATGAACTGTAGAGCTACTAATCTGCTTTTTTTTCTAGATACTTTTTGAGTGATGAAACAAATTATGGCGAATTTGAATTTTATGCTCATATTTTTTATTTAATTTAAACCAAAGGCAGTATATTTCAAAAAAGAAATTAAACCAAGATCTTGTTATTCATTTTGATAATAATATATTACTTCAAAGTTACTTTGATGAAATACATTTCATGTAGTGCGCCAAAAAATAGTTTGTTGTGAAACAACAAAATAGATTAAATAACTAAAAACTCAAGAACGCAGAGCGGAGCGAAGCGAAGCTCTGCGGTCTTGTTTCTATCTATACTATGGTATGGCCATTGGCCAATAACAAGTATATAAGTCTAGTTTGGCTTTTGTCTTTATGGTGGCACTGTAAAGTAATGCATATTTCTTATGAATCGATTCCATAGAATATTTTGACTGAACAAAAGACACGAGCAAAAAGAACAAAATTATTCTAGAAAAATGAACAAAAATTATTGAACTACCTGGAAGCAATATGCTTGATTTATTATTTCGACTTGGGGTTATGTAGAATATTTATTTGAAGAGAAGTTGTCAACATAAAGTACAAATGAGGTAAATAAAACACGAATATCAATGGGGATTAATAAAAATTGGGATATGGGTCAGGTAGTAGATTTGGGATGAGTCACAACCGACGCAGCAAAAACGATAGAGAAAGAGAAAAAGAGAGAGAAACCAAAGGAGATACACGAATATTTAATTTCTCTGCTATAAACTAAGAATTTGAGTAGAAAAGAGGATAGCATTTAGGGTAGGTACTGTGTGGTCAATATGCTTATCTCTGAAATTCTACTTTGAACAAATGATTAGCAGAGTCTGGCACAGGCACAAGAGTTGCACATATTGAACACTCTTCTTCGTTGCATGCCTCAGTTTTCTTTTTGCCTTCGACTCGAATACACTTGCGCAGCATTCAAGAAAAAAATACTTTTTGTGCAAATAATAACAATTCAGAACGACGGGAGAAAAGAACAATTTTACAAAAATTGCAATCAAAATTCGTATTTTTATTGTATCATTTTCACACATCCCAAATCTGTATCGAAACAATGGACGCATTAGAATTGGCACCATCGCACGTGAAAAAAGCAGAATTAATGTTCTTCTGGTCGCGATACCCGGACGTTGCTCTGCTAAAAACCTATTTTCCTGACATTCAAGACAAAACTAAATTGGTTTTACTCGAACGTCGTTTTCGATGTTTTCGCAATTTCTTCTACAATCAACTGGAGCGATACGCTTGGCAAGCAATCAATGAAGGAGTCAACAGTGCCGATGATTTACGTGTGAATGAAAAAAGTGAAATTTATAGATTGCTAAAATCAAATTTCGATCAAAACGATAATGTCAATGTACCGGATCGATTTCGTGAAGTGGTCGAGTTTACGTTACGAGAATACTTTTGTCACATTCAAAGTGGAAAAATCACCCAGATCGAACAATCACCAAAAAAAGTGAGCACCCGTGGAAAAGTGTCGAGGAAATTGCGTGAAATTCTTGGCATTCAGAAAATTAAAAACGAAATCAACAGCGAAGAAACATGGGAGAATTTCATTTATACAGCAGTTTCCAAAATGGACGAACCAATTCCAGATTACTTCAAGAATTCAGATTTTTTGAACGTTGAACACACATTTAAGCCACTCAACAAGGCTGCATTCACCGATAAATTGAACTCGATCTATACGAACCGGCTCAAACATGAAAGACAATAAATGTGACAAATATTCGAATATTCGATTTGATCAAATTTGATTTGTTAGGCGCTCCGAAAATGAGTTCGTTTGGCACAATTTTTTAGAAAAATACTTTTAGGTCACAGTGAAATTAGTCAATTTCAGCATTTTTCAAAAAAAAAATCCTTTTAAAAATAAATAATTTTACTTTCGAAATAATAAATATATTCTTAGGTAGTTTATAAATCAACTTCAATTTGAACTTTAATTTAATTAACCAACAAAAAAAAACGAAAACGATTTGCATAAAATTAAATAAAACATTCATTTGCAGAAAAGAAAAGTCTTTAATTTGTTTTATTTACTTGTTACGAAAAGTGCTTCCGTCGCACATTTCGGATGCTAAACTGTTTCTCGCTTGTTTATTCAATGCAAAAATATTACTCAATCCGTGCTCCGTGCCCCTGATTAAAAACATCACATTAACGTTGATGAGTTGAATTTACGACCGTTGGGGCCACAGTTGCGTTTGCAATCACGTGCTTCGGCCAGTCAATGCACAGCGTTCAACAGGTGGTTCAATTCATACTTTGCAAACACACGCCCCACACATAGATCTCGTCACTCTGTTTGTTTATCAAAGTGGAAGAGTAAACTGGCTCAAACGCACGTGATTTTACGATTGAGTGAAAGTCAAAAATGGAAAATG